TCGCCCCCTCTGTCCCTCTGTCCCCTCTGTCCCTCTGTCCCTCTGTCCCTCTGTCCCCTCTGTCCCCTCTCTGTCCCCCGATGTCCCCAGGCTCGCTCGGTGTCCCCCCCCGCTGTCCCCTCTCTGTCCCCCATGTCCCCCCCATGTCCCCCGTGCGTCCCCAGGCCCGCTCGGTGTCCCCCCTGATGTCCCCCCCTGATGTCCCTGATGTCCCCCCTGATGTCCCCCCCGCTGTCCCCTCGCTGTCCCCTCTGTGTCCCCAGGCCCCCGGCCGGACCCTGCGGTGGCCGTGGAGCTGCAGCCGCTGCGCAGCGCCGAGGGGGGAGGGGACAGCGCCGAGGGTCCGGGGGGGCCGCGACCCCCCCGGGGGGACCCCAAAAAGGAGAAATCCGTGCTCCAGGCCAAGCTGACCCGGCTGGCCGTGCAGATCGGGAAGGCAGGTGGGCACCGGGGGGGTCCCCAAATCCGGGGGGGGGGACAGGGGGGTGGGGACGTGTCCTGAGGGGTGGGGACGTGTCCTGAGGGGTGGGGACCCTGGGGACACGTCCTGAGGGTCAGAAAGGTTGGGGACACGACCCTGAGGTGACCCCAGGAACAAACGGGTACCCCAGACCCAACTGACCACAGAGACTGGGGGTCCCAAGGGGGGGGACAGGGGGTTGGGGACACTGGGGACGCGTCCTGAGGGTTGGGGACATGGCCCTGAGGTGACCCCGAGAAGGACAAACGGGTTCCCCAGACCCAACTGACCCAACTGACCACACAGATTGGGGGTCCCCAATAGGGGGACAGGGGGCTGGAGACACTGGGGACACGTCCTGAGGGGTGGGGACGCTGCAGAAAGGTTGGGGACACATCCCCGAGGTGACCCCAGACGACACTGGGGACACGTCCCCGGGTGACCCCAGTGAGGGGACAGGGGGTTGGTGACACTGGGGACACGTCCTGAGGGGTGGGGACGCTGCAGAAAGGTTGGGGACACATCCCCGAGGTGACCCCAGACCCAACTGACCACACAAACTGAGGTGACCCCAGTGAGGGGACAGGGGGTTGGTGACACTGGGGACACGTCCTGAGGGGTGGGGACGCTGCAGAAAGGTTGGGGACACATCCCCGAGGTGACCCCAGACCCAAACCGGGGTGACCCCCACGGAGGACACCTCCGGGGCCACCTCAGCGCCGCGTCCCGCCCCCGTCCCCTCCCAGGCCTGGCCATGTCGGCCGTCACCGTCATCATCCTCGTGCTTTACTTCGTCATCGACACCTTCGTGGTGCAGGGCCGGCCCTGGCTGGCCGAGTGCGCCCCGCTCTACGTCCAGTACTGGGTCAAGTTCTTCATCATCGGCGTCACCGTGCTGGTGGTGGCCGTGCCCGAGGGGCTCCCGCTGGCCGTCACCATCTCGCTGGCCTACTCCGTCAAGGTCCGTCCGTCCGTCCGTGGCCGTGTCCGTCCACCCACGTTTCTCCTCCTTTCCCCCCGTTCAGCTCCGTTTGCCCTCCGGTTTTCTCATTTTTTCCCATTTTTTTCCCAATTTTTCCCATTTTTTTCCCATTTTTTCCCGATTTTCCCCCATTTTTTCCCATTTTCCCCATTTTTTTCTCATTTTTTTCTACTATTTTTCTTATTTTTTCTCATTTTTTCCTCTTTTTTCTCTTTTTTTTTCTCATTTTTTCCTGTTTTTTCTCATTTTTTTTCTCATTTTTTCCCATTTTTCCCATTTTCCCCCTTTTTTTTTCCCATTTCCCCCTATTTTTTTCCATTTTTCCCCATTTTCCCCCCAATATCCCCCTTTTCCCCCCGTTTTTTCCCATTTCCCCCTATTTTTTTCCATTTTTCCCCATTTTCCCCCTGTTTTTTTCCCATTTCCCCCCGTTGTTTCCCATTTCCCCCCATTTTTTCCCATTTTCCCCCTTTTCCACCCCAGAAAATGATGAAGGACCACAACCAGCTCCCAATT